TGTTTGGAGCTTCAACACTTTAATTTCCGTCGCTCAAACAGAAATGGTTCCTTCTTGAAAGTTGTTCATATGCTCAAGAACTATAGGGTGTCCAAAATTCAGCTCCATTGGAGAAGAGCAGAGGTTGCAGAAATTTGATAGATGAAAAAGTCTCTTGGGTTGGATTTCTATTTTGGGGCAGATTCCAATTTTTGTAGCACCTTCATTATTGATGAATTGCTTGTACTTTTGTCCATTATAAAACTTGGGACTTTGGCTTGTTGTTGGATCTATTATAATATGTTTGGGAACATATATAAGTGAATAAATAAGAAGGAAAATTTTGGGCCCTTGTGGGTGTAAAACAAAAAATGTTTATGTTTACCCAAGTGTTTTTGTACAAGTTCAAGGGCATCTTGGGTTTTGTGAACAAAATTTGTTTATTTGGAGCAAGGTTTTGTGTGTGAAGCTTTGTAGGTGAAGCTTTGTGTTGAAGCTTTCTAGGTGAAGCTTTGATGGTGAAGCTTTGTAGATGAAGCTTTGTAGATGAAGCTTTCTAGGTGAAGCTTTGATGGTGAAGCTTTGTAGATGAAGCTTTCTAGGTGAAGCTTTGATGGTGAAGCTTTGATGGTGAAAGTATGTAGAGGGAGCTTTCTAGGTGAAGATTTTTTAGGTGAAGCTTTGTAGGTGAAGCTTTTTTAAGTGAAGCTTTCCGGGTGAAGTTTTTTTTTTTGGGTGAAGCTTTGTGGGTGAAGCTTTGGAGGTGAAGCTTTTCGGGTGAAGCTTGTTGGGTGAAGCTTTTTAGGTGAAGCTTTGTGGGTGAAGCTTTTTAGGTGAAGCTTTGTGGGTGAAGCTTTGGAGGTGAAGCTTTTCGGGTGAAGCTTTTTAGGTGAAGCTTTTTAGGTGAAGCTTTGTGGGTGAAGCTTTGGAGGTGAAGCTTTTCGGGTGAAGCTTTTTGGATGAAGCTGTTTTTTTTTTTTTTTTTTTTTTTTTTTTTTTTTTTTGGCGCTTGACACACGGTCTTCATTTGCTTGTTTTGTAGTGACTGTGGAAGACGGACGGATTGCTTTCTGATTGAGAAGGGTTCTGGCATCGCTTGCTATGAATGTAAAAGAGTGAGGGCTGAGTTGGCTAAATTACCTCTTTATTGAATTCATTGCCAAATGGCCTTCATTACATAGGATGCCGAACGGCTATAGCTCAACACTTGTACATCGTGAGTCTATTTGTAGTAGTACTTCAAGTGATCAGCGTTCCATGGATGGCCAAGGGTCTTACCATCAGAGCTTCTAAGTGTGTAAGAGCCAGGGCGACTGATGCCAATGACTTTATACGGTCCATCCCAGTTTGGACTAAGTGTGCCTTCACTCGGGACTCTGTCGCAGAGTAATCTTTTCTTTAAGACCCAGTCTCCTATTTTGAAAGAATGAGGCTTGACCCTAGAGTCATAATAGTTGGAGATGCGCTGCTTGTAGGCGACATTCCTCAAGTGAGCTTGGTTTCTGTGTTCCTCGACTAAATCCAAGTTGAGGGTGAGTTGTTTGTCATTTTCACTTTGAATGTAGTTCTGGACTCGGAATGTTGCTTGCTCGAGCTCAACAGGGACAACCGCCTCTGTGCCAAAGGCAAGTGAGAATGGAGTTTCTCCTGTTGAAGTCCGATATGAAGTGCGATATGACCAAAGAACTTGGGGTACAAATTCTGGCCAACAGCCTTTAGCTTTGTCCAAGCTGGTTTTCAAAGTGCGCTTGATTATTTTGTTGATGGCCTCAACTTGTCCATTAGACTGGGGATGAGCTGGAGAGGCAAAGCATAAGTTGATGTTGAACTTAGAGCAGAACAACCTGAACTTCTTGTTGTCAAACTGTCGCCCATTGTCAGTGACTATCGCATTGGGAATGCCGAATCTACAAAGGATGTTCTTCCACACGAAGTCTTCTATCTTTGCCTCAGTAATGGTTGCCAAGGGTTCTACTTCGGCCCACTTTGTGAAGTAGTCCACTGCAACGACTGCGTAACAGACTTTGCCCTTCCCTGCCGACATTGGGCCGATCAAATCAAGTCCCCACTGGGCGAAGGGCCAAGGGCTGATCATAGGAGTAAGAGGCTCTGGAGGGGAATGAGGAATAGTTGCATATCGTTGACATTTTTCACATGAGCGAGATACTTTGATGGCATCCTGGTGGAGTGTTGGCCAGTAATATCCTTGGCGAAAAGTCTTGTGTGCTAGGGACCGAGATCCAGCATGATCTCCACAGACTCCCTCATGTATTTCCCGAAGGACGATTTCCGCCTCGGCAGGCGTAAGACACCTTAAGTATGGCAGGCTAAAACCTCGCTATTGTGGCGATACCCTTGACGCGGGTTTGACCCACTGCATTGACTGCCTGGGGGTGAGCGCTATTGTGGCGATACCCTTGGTTATCGGGATAGTGTCCCTTACTCTTTTTACTGAAAGGAGAGTGGTGAGGATGGAAATCCTTCCTCTTGCCTTGAAATTGATATGTCTGTTGATTCGGTGAAGCATTATGCAAGGCATGGGGAGGTGCCACTGCTGTTTGGAAAGTCGAGGTCTTCTCATTTAGGTGAGTCTGGCTTCCACCTCCCACTTGTTGATAAAGGATGGTTGTAGGGGGTTTCTCCTGATATGTCTTTGCCTCGGCGGAGGCATGGTTATAAGCCTGCGCCATCACCTCAGAGTAAGTCTTCCAAGTATTGGCATTGATCATGTATTTAAAAGAACAATCACGTAGGCCTGCCGTGAAGGCTTTGAGGGCAGTCTTGTCGTCTGCCTCGGCACACCCGGGAGTATTCATGGCTGAAGCGGCCAACATACATACGTAATGACTCGTCTGGCTTCTGGCGGATAGTGTACAAGTCATCTGCAGAGTGCAAGCGATCGGTTTGGAAAATGTGTTGGGAAACAAATAGTTTCCTCAATTCCTCAAATGTGTCTACCGTCTCAGGTGTAAGACGACAATACCAATTTAGAGCTCCACTAGAGAGGGTGGAGGGGAAGAGAAGACATCGCTCTTCGTCGGTGTGCATCCGGTATGCCATGGTGGATTCAAAGAGGTTAAGGTGCTCAATCGGGTCCTCTTTTCCAGTATAAAGTTGCAAGCCAAGCTTTTGCTTTGTCTTTGCTTGAAGGGGGGTGTTGAGGATCCTCCTTGTATGAGGGCCAGGCCTGGGTTGGTTCCAGTCAGGTATTTCAGCCTGACATTCAGCCTTCAACTTGTTTACTTCCTCAAGAAGTTGTAGGACAAGGGGGTCCTGAGCGGAGTTATGTGTCACTGGAGCTTTCTTTCGTAAATCTCCATCTCCTCTTGGAATTAGGAAGGTTTGATCAAGGGCATGTGATTTTTCCCTGGACTCGCTGTACTGGCTTCTAGGGTATGTCTGTCGGAACACCTCTGAGTCCCCTGTACCCTCATGTCTCTCTGGGACTTGTTGCCCCTTCCCCAAATTGGTGGCCGGCTTGGGCCGTGGCAGGGGACCGAGTCTCTCAGAAATCCTTGGGTCATTAATCTTTGAGCTTATATGGATGGAATTCTCTCGACGTTGCTTCAGGAAATCCCGACAATCGCGAAAGACGGCTTTCGATCCTTCTGCCCCTTCAGGAAAGAGGTGTCTCCCTCCACTTCTCATGGTTCGGGTCGAAGCAACTGGGTTAAGAGAAGCCTCATGTTGATTATCAAGTCGAGGGGTAATCTGTTCCCTATCAGGGATATCTATGTCGAATGCATGTGACCCTCCATGTTGGAGGGCACCCAGTTGATGGTTGACTTCCACGGGGGCAACAAGCTCGCGTGTCTGAGCTTGCCTAGCTTCGTGGAGTGTCTCGAAGAGCTTCTCATATTGCTCCTGGAGGACCTCATTCCTCATTGCTATCTTGTTGTTCTGAGCTTCCAACTCATCGACTTTAGCTTGAAGAAGAACTCGTTTTCCTTCCTTCTTTCGTTGTTTCGCACTATGTGCAAGGGGGGTGTCATTCTGTGTGCTGTGGCTTCCTTCGCTTCCCATGCTGGAGAGGGATGCCTGATCAAAAGAAAGTGTACGAATGATAGAAACCAGCTTGACACAGCTGAAGAGAGTAGGAATAAGTGTCGTTTCCCACAGACGGCGCCAAATGTTGATGCACAAAAAATCAGCGAAGACTTTGGTACAACAGAAAGTGTCAGGTTTTGTGACCTTCGCTTGGTTTGCTTGGTTGCTTCAGTCACTAGTGAGGATAAGTACGTAAATGAATAGAGACAGAGAAGCAAACACAGGATGTACGTGGTTCACCCAGATTGGCTACGTCCACGGAGTAGAGGAGTTCTTATTAGTAGTGAAGGGCTTACACAAGTACAAAGGATCAAGCTCTCAATTTAGTGAGTTCTTGTGAATGATTTAACACAAAATGGCATTAGGCAATATTGTGGGGGAATGACCCCTATTTATAGAAAAACTTGTAGCTTTGTCACATTGACATGTGTCATGTTATGATTGGTTCTTGATGTTGACACGTGTTGCGCTCTGATTGGCTTCTAATCTTGACACGTGTCGAGTAGTGATTGGCCTCCTGGTCGGAGGGGAACTCTTCTGGGTCCTTGACAGTAGCGTTGGCCGGTGCTCGGTAGTTTCGGGATTGGTCAAGTATGGTACAAACACATGTTATCCATCAATGTTTTGGTGACAAATTCCCAAATTGCTCTCCATATTGCCCAAACCATTGAACCAAAACAGGACAAATTCACTGCAAAAATCCCAATTTTTCCTACTTTTGAATGAATCAAGTATGCCATTTTAAGACTGTAAAAAAGATTATATAAACCAACTAAAAATTCCATGTTTTCCTTACTTTTGAATGAATCAAGCATGCCATTTCAAAACTAATGTAACTTTTGTTCTCAAAACAAATTCACAGAACACATAGACAGAGACACCAACTCAAATTGCAATTTCAAAATAAAAGTAACTTTTGTTCTTAAAACCAAGACCCACATAGAAGTCGAAAATCTAAATGAAGGAAAGTCTACATTCTCAAGGTGTATTTCTTCACTTGGTATTGCACCCTCCCTAATCATCTGCATATGGTACACCGCAATGCTTCCTGCACTTCAAGACTGCAGTTAAGAAATCATCCAACTTCAATACACTATGAACCTACACCTAGTAATGTCATCAAGTACACCAAGAAACAAATTCACAGTTCAGATTTTTTTACACCTAATTTGGCAGCTTAGAGAGCAACCATCAATAGTCCCATGATTTTGGAAATTTACACATAAAATGTTCTAAATTGTAGTGTGCAAATTATTTCTGAGTGATAGAGAATGGTGCCTAGCACAATAAAAGTAGTGTACTACAAAATAATAAAAAAGGCAATACCTTTACATATTAATACGTATAATTTTCATTTTCTATATAGTTTAGCATGTTTTTTGTTAGATGATCGATCTACACACACACATACGCATATGTACATGGATATATACAACATAGAAAATAAACACAACTAAGATAAGGACCACCATCAAAATTGAACGGAGAATGAAATATATATCACCTTCTTTCCCATCTCTAATGCTATGTCATAAGTCCCTAAAGAAGCAATTGCCTGAAAGATGAAGAAAACCAGAAACTCATAATAACCATAGTAGACAAACCCAGAAAAAGAAAGAAACAAATAAAATCATTCAGATTTTGTATACTGTTAGTTTCTCAAGTAGTCTTTACATATTCATTCAAGATTATGCATGTATTAGAGCGCTTTAAGCAGAACGGCAGTGTAGTATTCAGAATTATATTCAAATGATCATTGAGGATTTTTTACAAATGAATCTCCCACTATTCTACTTAAAAAACCACATACTCAATACCAAGTGAAAATTGCGTCGTTTTTATAAAACATTGAAAAACATATGAACTGATGCCCAACTTTGATTAATCTGACATTAATAGTTAAGTAATTCAACATTCAGAGCTGACAGGAGAGTATATAACAACATTGGAAACCATATGAACTTGCCCACCTATTTGACATTGCAGTTGAATAATCTCACATAAATTCACATCAAAAGAATCAATAAATTTGACTAAGAATGCTCCAAAACCCACAATTTAAATGAAAAAAAACCCACAAATTTAAACCCAAAATTCTATAAAATCATGAAAAATTTAATAAAATCCCATTACATTAATCACAAATTTGATCATTCAAATCTTTACATCCAATAAGTTTAGAAAGGTACCTAGGTTCCTTGCAAAATTGTATCTCTACAGGCCAAGGCTCAAATTCCCTTGTTGCTGCCTTCATTCGATAAATCCTGATTCAAGCAGTCACATATATCATAAACATATATATATAATAAGTTGATGCGCTCAATAGGAATGAACTTATCAGAAATTATGAAACCGACTGAACACATTTAGTGTAATGTCCACAATTAAATAATGAGCATGAAAATGACTAACAGGGGTAACACAAACTGCTCAACTTAGGAATTAAAGCATCCAATATTTAGAAAATAATTGACAATTTTCATGGTCAAATTAATAAGGAAAATCATAATTATGTTTTAACTGCTAATTCTGACGAAGCAGCAGTAGTTCGACATATTGCTTCTGATGAAAATTATTATATATTAGTGGTGCAAATTAGCAAAATAATAGTGCCTTCAGACTTTTTGAAAACATTCGATAGCGCCTTCAGGCTTAAATTCACCAATATCATAACCTTCTCCATCAGTACCTTCACCTTTTCCGTCCCCCCTCCTGCATCACCTACTTCATCAACTCTCAATATTACCAAAATTCTACATGACCATCCAGACTTCATAATAATTTTTTTATTTGGTCTAAAATATGAAAAAAAACCCAAAACAGAAGATGTACAGAACTTTAGACATGAATATTTCAAGATATGAATTTGAGGTCTACTACACATCATTAGAGATGACTAAATTTAAGATCAATACGATAAAAAGACATGCATTTTGATATTTTCATGCATATACTTCTTGTACTCAATGCATTTCCCTTGTACGAATTGTAGCCCCCTCATCAATTTAAGAGATCTATTGACCTTCAATTTCACCTACAAAGAATAAAAAAGTCGACGATTCAGAAACATTACAAACGCCATCTGATGAAACCTAAACCCTACAAACGCCAGAAAAGGGTACAAATTTTAGAGAGAACACTGTCGAAATCTTACAGGAACAATCTTAGGTGGAGCAAATCTTTCAAAACCAACCTCATCCCTCCTTCACTCTCTCTGAAATTCCCAACCAACCCCATTCCTCCCTCACTCTATCTCTTTAATTCCCACTCTCCCATAACCCCATATTCAGCATCACTACTCAACCCATAATTTTATCTCTGCATTCCCACTCCCCCATGCCCCCAAATTCAGCATTTTTTTTTCATCTAAATTACCATGAAAAAGTGTGATTCCTAATCTTAATAACTTGCTCAAAATCAATCCCAAATTATCCGAAATGGCATAGACTTCAAAACAAAAATTTAATTCTGCTACAGGACCTAATAGACGGCAGAAAATGGTAAGGGGAGACGGGTTAGGACAGTGGGAAGTGGACCAGGTTTTTTTTTATTCATTGAGTCCATCATTTTGTAAGTGGTTGATAAGCTCATATTTATATATATTTTACATAAAATTCACTTGTCTTTTATTAGTTAGTTCCTTATATTTTTGAGCTATTTACTATGTTTTTGTGTTTTGTGTGATTTATCAAGCAAAGAAAAGAAAAGTAGCACAAGTGAATTATTAAGCAACAAATTCGTCAAAACTGCCTGTGCAGATTATCTGACTTTGGAAGCATGTTACAAACAGCTCAGAATGAATGGGAGAATGAGCCTTACATGCGTGGAAAGCTACGGATGTCTATTTTCTGGAGCAATTTACGGATTGTTAATCTCATTTTTCTAGAAGAGGTTATGGGCATTGTAACACTGAAAGATCAGAAAAGGGCTAAGCAGATTTGGCTAATAAAAAGAGAAAGGCAACACATGGGCAAAGGAAACACACACACATGGGCAGAAAATGGGTGGATTGTTGGCTGAAATAATGAAGAACATGTGTCTGCAAATGCAAAGGAAAAACACACACACATGGGCAAAGGAAATACACACACATGGGTAGGAATTGTGGGTGTTTGGTGGTTGAAATGATGAAGCATGTGTGTGTAAATGTAAAGGAAAACATGGCAGAAAATGTGTGTGTTTGGTGGTTGAAATGATGAAGCATGTGTGTGTAAATGTAAAGGGGAAACATGACAACTCACACCCACACAAGATGAACATGCAAAGGAAATGGAGTGGTCCTCTCTCAAGCCTATAAATACCACCTCCCATATTCATCAAGACAACAGATTTTGATCCTTGTTTGGCCGAAAATTCCCACCTCCATTCTCTCCAAATTCAGCCAAAAACCACCCCTAGCCACACCACCCATCAATCCTAAACCTTTCCATACCATTCCCCATCCATTCTACACCATAAAAACCACCCAAAACCGTCCAAAACCTCTAGTGCCGCTGCTTGCAAGGAAGGAAAGAGAAGGAACATCTTGTGCCGTGCCTATGCCCAAGCCTTGGGAGTGTTGGAGCGTTTCTAGGTGTTTTCTATCTTTGTTTTTAATGTCTAAATTTATGCATCTTTGCTTTGTAAGTATGAGGAACTAAACCCCTCTTAGTTAGGGGGTGATTCGAAACTATGTTCATGCTTGCAATATGATTTGATTACATCCAGTTGTGATTCATAAGTTGTGAATTCAATTTACTTATCCGATCGTATAAAAACTGATTTGTGTATGTTGGTTGAGAGTGCACGCTTAATTTTCATGCATGAATTTGACGCTAGAATATAAGGGAGTTTCACCTAATCGTTATGAACTTATATTCACAAGTAGTGAAGGTTGCTAGTCACAATCACGTTAAGTAAATTCTTGGCATAAGTTTCATGCAAATCATAGTAACGAGTGCCTCGTCAATGCTTATGTTTTTCATAGAAATTAATGATTCTTGCTTGTATCTCTATTATGCAATTCATGTAGGGAACTTGTAGGGAATGTTTTGGGTTGTCGTATGCAATCATCCAACCTAATAACTTGTGGAAAAACTGAGGGTTAATTAGTGCAATTCACGGTTAATTTGGGGCGTTGAGTATTCATAGTTTATCGAAAAGCAACTGGAAATCGTTTTGTATGCAAGGGTGACATGTGTGGAGAAGAACCTCCTAGCTAGCCTTCCATCCATAAGTTTCATTCAAATTCATTTACAATCTGTTTTGTTTTACAAAGTTTGTTTTGTTTTCAAATTCATCAAGAACCAATCTCCCATTTATTTCAAAGTGTTAGATTAGTTAGTAATCACTTTAGTTTGTGCTTTTAAGTGTCTTGAGTCAAGTCATAACCCAATTTCGTCCAATTTAGTGTTAGGTGTTCAAAACTGCCCAGAAAGTGTTTTTAAGGCAGTTTTGAGTCTTTGGTTGCTGTTTTGAATCTTTTTGTTTATCTTAGTATTTTAAAGTATAGTTTTGCATTCTTTGAGTCTAGTTTAGTGTTTTAAACTTTGTTTTTACGTTTTCAAGTCAGTTTCCAAGTGATTTAGCAATCCCTCCTAATCCTCGGCCTAGAACGATCCCTACTTACATACTTTACTACATTTGATAAAAAGAGGGTTTAATTGTGTGCTTATATATTTCGCATCAAATTTTTGGCGCCGTTGCCGGGGATTAGCAACTTTGCTAATCCCCCGTTGTTTCTTTTTCATGTCTTTTGTTTTACTTTTGATATTTGATTTAGTTTTCTTTCTTTGATTTTAGGTACTAGAGAAGTAAGACATGGATTTTGCTAGCATTCAAACTCAATTGGCAAATCTTACTTCTCAATTGTCACAGTATGCCGAAAGGACCATAATGCAAAGTGTCCCTACATTTGGTGCGTCTTATAGGCAAGGATACAAGCCAATCAATGCCCACAAAGAGATTGGAGTGATCATTCAAACTCTATGTGGTGGGAAGCTCAACAAGTTCAACATGAAGGATATTGGCTGATAGGAGCATATTTATGCGACTTAGTTGGCTTGTTCTTAAGCATTTATGTTGTTTTCCTTTAGTTATTTTAGTGTTTAAAGTCATTTTCGTGCAATTTCAGGTTTAGAGACGAAGTATGCAAAGAAGTGCAAAATGGAGCATTTTAGAGCAAAATTGAGCTAGAATGGAGTGTATGCTAATGGAGCACAAGGAATGGACAAGTTTGAAGGTCAAAGGAGCTTAAGAAATGAAGAAATGAAAGTGAAGAACAAAGAATTCAGATTTGGAAACCAAAGTTTCTAAAGTTGGAAGTTTCTATTCTTGGAGGTTTCCATTTTCGAGAGTTTCTATTCTTGGCTTTGGGCTTTAGATGACCTAAACCCTAATTCCTTGTGGACCCTAACCCTAGCCGCACCTAGGCCTCTAGAATATCTGATTTCCTTGCCTTGCAAGGCATTCTAGAAGGCCCATCTCTAAACCCTAACCCTAGCCGCACCTTAGGCCTTATTCCCACTAAAAATCTGATTGTTTTAACTAATTTCTGGTGGATTTGGGCTTCTAGAAACCCTAATCTGATTACCCTAGGGTTTTGGATGCCTATATATACTCATTATAACCCCTAGATCAGAGGACCACCTCTCATACACAATCATTCACGCCAGAAATCTGCCCTTGCATTCTGCCGCACCTTCCCATCACCAAAATCCCAAAATTCTGCCCAAAAATCATCCCTAGCCGTACCCCCATCAACCCTAAACCTTTCCCTACCATTCCCCATCCATTCTACACCCTAAATACCACCCAAAACCTGTTCTAAACTTCTCTGCCGCAGCAAGGAGGAAAGGGAAATCATTGATGATCTTGCTGCCAAGTTGGAGCCTTCTAGGTGTTTTCTTTCTTTGGGTTTTAATTTCTAAATTTATGTATCTTTGCTTTGCGAGTATGAGGAACTAAACCCTCCTTGGCTAGGGGGGATTCGAAACCATGTTTATGCTTGCTATATGATTTGATTACTTCTAATTGCGTTTCATAAGTTGTGAATTCAATCTACTTATCTACAAGAATTAAAACTGATTTGTGTATGTTGGTTGAGGGTCGACACTTAATTTGCATGCATGAATTTGATGCTAGGATATAAGGAAATTTCACCTAATCGTTATGGACTTATATTCATAAGTAGTAAAGGTTGATGATCTCAATCGCGTTAAGTAAATTCTTGGCATAGTTTCATGCAATCATAGTAACAAGTGCTTCGTCAATGCTTATGGTTTTCATAGAACT